CATTTGCAAACATGTTGAGAAGCAAAATGATAATATAACTTCAGAATATACAACGAGAAGATGGAACATTTGATAGATAGCTTTCACCACATTCGAACATCAATCGTATTTACGTGGTTGGCGTTACATTGTGGTTCGAATAGGCAGCCGGATTATGACCAACAGTACTACAGCAAGTACATTTTCTAAGCCGTGTGGTGCACTCGTATCTGAAATGTTGGAATTACAATGGTAAGAATTCTGCATAATCCATGCGTCGACATTTAATACCATCAAAGTAGAACTTTCGAATATTTAAATCCTTGTAATAGCAAAAGTTGAAACCAAGGGTTTCAACAGTTTTCAAGTGTCAAATTCAACAGTTAAATTGTCTATTTACAGTTTGTAAATGTCGAGTTTGGCAATTGAGATGTCTAACCAATGGTTTCGAAAATTATATTCGACAATTGAACCGTGGAAATTGCGAGGAAGTTTGAAAACATGTATTTGGTATTCTGAGAGAAATTATTAAAAACACTAATGATCATAATCAATTCTCAACTATAACATTACAACATCTTTCCAAAAATTAATAAAGAGTAACTCAATGCGTCATTAAATATAGAATCATTCACATTTTGTAAATGATATTGGTATTTATACTCTTCAAAAATATTTTAAAAACCAAACAAATTAATGAATGAAAGTTTCAAAAATTTCAAATAAATATGACCATGTTATATTTTAACATTTTAAAATAGTAAGCTATAAGATGAAAATGTAAACAATTTCTAATTGCTAACCTCTCAAAATAGATGATGAATCCAATAGTAATGTCTTCTTGATGATGGAATGAAGAAGATGGATAAGAAGCTAGAGTTTGTTAATGGTAAGAAGCTATGTGTTTATTTTAACTTTTCAAATTCCTTTTTTTTTTTTTTTTTATACCAAAAGTCATATTATCCAATATTATAATCATAACTCCAATGTTTGTAATACACAAAACAAATCATCGTGTCACAACATTAATAACATTTAAATTAAGCATTAAATACTCCTAAAAATGTGTCACTATGGATAATATGGACCTTTCACACCAAAAAATGACATTTTTGACCATAATGAAAGTGAAATTTTTTTGTGAACTTTCAAATTTATTGATATTTATAAAAATTGTCCCTTTTTTTATTATGATGTCCACATAATTAAATATTAATCGACGCAATAAATTTTCAAAATTTCGATTTGTAAGAATAAGCTTTGTCAAATGGATACATACACGCTGTAAAGCATGATACAAGGCATTATTCTCTATTTTATTTTATTTTATTTTGAGTGATTTTGAACCGAAATTCCTCTCTCCCTCTTTTTTCAGTCTTCTCAATTTTCCTTCTTTCTGTCCTGTCAAAATTGCCTTTCACACATTAAGCCCCTGTTTGGCCCCCATTACGGGGAAAATTTAATGTATAGAATAGTGTTTTTTGAAAAATGAGTGGTTGAAAAAGAAAGAAAAATTTTCGATTTACGTGTAATATTATTTTATGAAAGATTGTGTGGTTGAAAATAGGAGAGAGAAAAAGTAGAATGTAATGTAATGTAATTTAATGAAAATCAAACAAGGGCTAAAGATGTGGTGGAAATATTGAAAAAATAGAATTAAGTTATAACTTATAAGTACAAGCCAAAGTTCACAGATGTGTCATAGAAATTCAAACAAAATGACGTGACAGGCTCATTTAAAGAAATAATAAACAAAAGGAAAATGTATTACTTGGGCCAAGAAAAGCGGGAAGGAAGAAGAGCGCCATTTCCCCAAATGCCAAGATAGAGAAACCTACCATCCCTGATCTCCACATCTCCTACCAGCATTCCNTGATCGCCAATTGCAATTTAAGCCCTAAAAAAGTGACAAGGTCAGAACATCAACAGTTTTAATGTAGCAATTTCTCTTTCCATTCAGTGACTACGGTCCGTGAATAATGATTTGAGCCATTGTGAACGGTAAATACATGATTTTATGAATGTCTAAAAACTTGTGATTTATGACTTTTGAGAGGTTGAATTAGTCTGCTTCCAAAACCTGTTGGTCGTTTTGATACTCTATTGAAATTGTGATTTTGTCAACATGTGATTTGTAAATTTGTTTTGGATAATTGATTTATGTTTTGTGTTTGTCATATCCCAGATTTAGTTTGGAAATAGATGTGATGATTATGCAATAAAGGATCATGTATGTTTACCTTCTTACTGGTGATTATGTTAAGATTTCCAAGTGAAAATGTTTTTTGACTTGGAAATGAAAATATTTTACACTTTAGATAGAATAATATTTCCAACTATACTTTGCATGCTTTGTGGAGATCTTTGAATCAATCTTCACACTCTAGTTTTTCCATATATTTCATACGTTGATTCTCAAAGTCGACGCCTATGACTTTGTTTCACTTTGAGATTCCATATCTTATGTTTTTAAATCAAATGACCTGCAAGTTGATCTTGCATATGATATGCTCATTATTAACTTATGGACACTTGATTAATGCACATACTGACCTATACACAAGATATGGAACTTGCAGATGGTAGAAGTAAATAATGATTACACTACAATGAGAAGCGCCAGAATTGCTAGTATAACTTGTTACTATGTGATCACATGACGACCAACCTTCAATTAAGATACAAAGGTACTAACGATAATTGATTACCAACAATTACATGCAGGAACTTTGAATAGCAAATGGTGCATATGAGTTAGATTTACAATTTCTATAAATTATGGACAAAATTTAGGTGATAAATGTACATTTAGATCTGGTAATGACCATTACACCAATTGTCTTTCAAATTCAGTTTGAGGCGTGACCTGGTTGTTAGGTAGTAAATGATCATAATTGCTTCCCTCCAAGAAGTTGATTATAAATAGCATGACATAACTTCATTCTGAGTTACCATTTTCTGACTTCATAAGGTTTGTGAAATTTTATTGTAATCACCTATACAAAGAGTTTTACTCAGTGCAATACATCGGAATAATGGGTTCGTCCACGAGAAGCAATGAATCGATCTACCTGACAGCAACATCATGTCCTTTATGCGTCGTATGTGTAGTTAACTTTTGTAATCTGGACCAACTGTTGAGAACGACAAGAACAATCTGTCGGGAACGGTAGATGAATTCTCGAGATGTTATAGAATATTTTTTCTATGGATCTGTATTTTGCTTGTTAACAAGAACATATCGTATTCTGTCTGTAAAAGATAATGATAATGATAATGTTAGTTGGAAATAATTTTTGCAATTGGAGAATATCATACAATGAAATCAGGAGTTTCTTCAGAGAAGTGGGATTTTGAAAACTTTTGTCGAAAATGACAGAAGATCGACAATATAGCTAGCGGAAGGTTGTGTAGCACATCGATAGAAGGAAACCCAATTGTTATAAGAACGGAAGAAGCAATAACATTTGCAAATATGCCGAGAAGCAAAATGATAATATAACTTCAAAATGTACAATAATATGGGGGAACATTTGATATACAACTTCAATGGTAGGAGGAAACCCTACCCGTTAGGCGCATAACGTACAGAGCAATAACATTTGCAAATATGTTGAGAAGCAAAATGATAATATAACTTTAGAATGTATAACGATATGGGGGAGGATTTGATATACAATTTTAACCATATTCGAACATCAATTCTATTTCCGTGGTTGGCGTTACATCCAGATGAGGGATACATCTGACATACAACTTTAATGATAAGGTAAGAACTATAATTGTTATGCGAATGTAAGGAGCAATAACATTTGCAAACATGTTGAGAAGCAAAATGATAATATAACTTCAGAATATACAACGATAAGAGGGAACATTTGATATATAACTTTCACCACATTCGAACATCAATCATATTTACGTGGTTGGCGTTACATTGTGGTTCGAACAGGCGGTCCGATTATGACCAACAGTACCACAACAAGTACATTTTCTAAGCCGTGTGGTGCACTCATATTTGAAATGTTGGAATTACAACGGTAAGAATTCTGCATAATCCATGCATTGACATTTAACACCATCAAAGTGGAACTTTCGAATAATTTAATCCTTGTAATAGAAAAAGTTGAAATCAAGGGTTTCAACAGTTTTCAAGTGTCAAATTCGACAGTTAAATTGTCTATTTACAGTTTGTAAATGTCGAGTTCGGCAATTGAGATGTCTAACCAATGGTTTCGAAAATTCTACTCGACAATTGAACCGTGGAAACTGCTAGAAAGTTCGAAAACATGTATTTGGTATTTTGAAAGAAATTATTAAAAACACCAATGATCATAATCAATTCTCAACTATAACATTACAACATCTTTCCAAAAATTAATAAGGAGTAACTCAATGCTTCATTAAATATAAAATCATTCACATTTTGTAAATGATATTGGTATTTATACTCTTCAAAAATATTTTAAAAACCAAACAAATTAATGAATGAGAGTTTCAAAAATTTCAAATAAATATGACCATGTTATATTTTAACATTTAAAAATAGTAAGCTATAAGATGAAAGTGTAAACAATTTCTAATTGCTAACCTCTCAAAATAGATGATGAATCCAATAGTAATGTCTTCTTGATGATAAAATGAAGAAGATGGATAAGAAGCTAGAGTTTGTTAATGGTAAGAAGCTACGTGTTTATTTTAACTTTTCAAATTCCTTTTTTTTTTTTTTTTTATACCAAAAGTCATATTATTCAATATTATAATCATAACTCCAATGTTTGTAATACACAAAACAAATCATCATGTCACAACATTAATAACATTTAAATTAAGCATTAAATACTCCTAAAAATGTGTCACTATGGATAATATGGACCTTTCACACCAAAAAATGACATTTTTGACCATCTTTAATGAAAGTGAAATTTTTTTGTGAACTTTCAAATTTATTGACATTTATAAAAATTGCCCCTTTTTTTATTATGATGTCCACATAATTAAATATTAATCGACGCAATAAATTTTCAAAATTTCTATTTGTAAGAATAAGCTTTGTCAAAAGGATACATACACGCTGTAAAGCATGATACAAGGCATTATTCTCTATTTTATTTTATTTTGAGTGATTTTGAACCGAAATTCCTCTCTCCCTCTTTTTCAGTCTTCTCAATTTTCCTTCTTTCTGTTCTGTCAAAATTGCCTTTCACACATTAAAGATGTGGTGGAAATATTTAAAAAATAGAATTAAGTTATAACTTATAAGTACAAGCCAAAGTTCACAGATGTGTTATAGAAATTCAAACAAAATGACGTGACAGGCTCATTTAAAGAAATAATAAACAAAAGGAAAATGTATTACTTGCGCTAAGAAAAGCGAGAAGGAAGAAGAGCGCCATTTCCCCAAATGCCAAGATAGAGAAACCTACCATCCCTGATCTCCACATCTCCTACCAGCATTCCGTCGCCGTTTACGCTACATCTTCGGCCAACGAATTGTCGACCACCCAATAAAACCTGAGGTTAGATTTTTAAGATTTACTCTTATGCATTTTAGCTATTTGGTTGCTAAAAATTCTTGATTTCTTTAATTTTTTTGCACTAGAGTTTCTACCCAACCCTCCGGTCAGCTCTTTAAGGTCGAAGAACATGAAAGGAATGACGTAAAACCCAGTTTCACTGTCTTTTTTTCTAGTGAAGATTTTCGATTGGCCAAAATTTTTTGACCTTTGGTCAGATTTTTAAGCTTTTATTTTGATACATTTAAGGTATTTGGTGCTAGAGAATTTTAGTTCTCTTGAATTTTTTTCACTGGAGTCCCACCTAAACCTCCTGTTAGCTCTTTAAGGTTGTAGATTATGTGGTCAGTTATTACCATTTTCATTTAGAAACTATTTTTAAGTTCAGGTTTTTGAGTTCAAGTAGATTATGTGGGTCAGTCACAATATGCTTTTTTTCCATGTCTACTTGCGATAATGATAAATTTTGTGGCAGGAACGGAAATAATGGAAGATGTAAATTATGATTTGTTGCTGGAATGTGATAATGAGAACATTGCAGAGAATTTGAATATGTTAGACAACGAAATGTAGGAGGAGATGTTGTGACTGTGCCTGAAGTTGGGTATGATGTTCAATGATGAGAAAGAAATGTTTGAATTCTATAAAAGCTATGCTTATGCCGTAGGCTTTTCAGTGAGGAAAATGAATTCAGAAAATGGGAAAGATGAATGTCACATGTGTAGTCGTTAAAGTTAACGAACTTATGCTACAGGCGGCTCCTTGAAGCCACAGCCAACAAGTTAAACGGATTGTAAAGCAAGAATATCTGCATCTTTGGATGGTCTTGGAATATGGAGAATTAATAAAGTATACCTAAACCACAATCATAAAACAAGACATTCCAAGTTTAGGTTTTATCGATGCAACTGAAAATTGAGTGCGAGTGTGAAATGAAAGCTTGAAGTAAATGACATGGTAAGAATTCTCTTCCACATGTGTTATAACTCCGCAGTGGTAAAAGCTAGTGGATATGAAAAATACAACTTTTGTAGAGAAAGATTGTCGAAATTATATTGAATTTGTGAGATGATTACGCCTTAGAGAATGAGATACCCTTACAATACAGGCGTATTTTTCAAAGAAGCAAGCACTTTGCTTGAAATTTTACTTTAGTATTGACTTAGATGATGATGTAGACTAAAGAATGCTTTTGGGTAGATAATAAGTGTAGACATATAAGGAGTTCGGTGATGTTGTCACTTTGATACTATATATTTCACTATAATGGAGTGGATAAAATTGCAAGTAAAAGATTTACGAATGACAAAGTCAAGTGTAGGAAGTGTCGTCCACTCATAGCATAACAACAACAACGAAAATATATTAGATCCTATGTCGTCGAACAGAAAGGACGCATCAAAGAAACTTCAGAGGAAAGGCCCATTAAAGTCTAGTTTAAAGAGAGTAAGGTATTTTTTACTATTAGCATCTTCGTTGATTGAGAATTTTAAACAAATAATCATTTTACTTGTCGAAAATGAAGGCCACCGCATCGTTAAGCAAAGGAAAAAGGCCTCGAGCTAGGCATAGTAATACAGAAGAGGGATCAATCGATGTCTAGGCATCTCAACTACCACAATGTTCTATGTCGACGCCATTGCAATATTTCGGCAGTCCGTCACCTACAAATGTTATAGTCAATGCTGAAGGTATAGCATATTGATTTGTGTTTAGGATGAGAAATTAATTGCTTATTAGGTTTCTTAGGTATTTATTTATGCAACTTGTCATTTACGCGTGTTCTATTTTTTACCTTCTAAACTAGACTTTGTCATGCCATACTTCTATCAACATTTACTCGATCGAGGTGGCTGAGGCTTGTGATTCTCGTATGAAAGGTACATGTGGACAAATTTACTTGATGCTATTTTATTTTTGGGCACTTAAGCCATCTTTCTGTATCATATGGTTGTAGTTGTGTGTATGCTGCAGTACGAAGTGGAGATCGTTCACATCATCCACTTTGAGAAGTGAATACTGACTTTATGACGAAATTTCGGTGTAATTAATGTTGGACCTACTTTTTTTATAAAATATAGGGTCGAGAATTTGACTACCTTCTTTCAATGTTTGTATTGGAAATATAATTATTACAATTTGAAGTTACTTGTTTATGAATGTTCAATGTTGAGTAGCTAATTGGCAGGCTTTATGTGGTTGTTGATATGTGTTCAGATAAGCTTTCAGCATTAATGTTTACTTCATGGCAAAAGCATAAACTAGGGAAGATTTTACAATATTGGCGTATCGTTTATGTTCAGGTTATTTGCAATTGGAGGTGGAATACCACTCTTCGAGTTTTCAGTTCTTTTTTCTTTCCTGTTATTCCTATAAGACTGTTTTACCCCCCATGGCCTCTTCCCATCTCCTTCTTTAGCTGATGGTTTTGGGACAATGTTAGCTAGATAAGATGGTAAATAGTGATAATATTAAGGACTGAGGTCTAGGATAGTTTTGATTAGAGCTTACAAAAGTGATAGTGTCATGGTTTCTATGGACTTTCGCTGCTGTCTATGATTTTATCTGAAACAAATCCAGCATGGCCTAGTTCTTCTACTTCCTTCTTTTCACGACTTTGTTAATGGTAAACAATCTACTTGTGTTGGCCTGGTTTATTGCCAGGTGACCTTTTCCATTTTTGTGTTTTTGTTCTATGCAGGCAATTAACTGAACCATCAAGCAAGTTAAAAGTAAAGTTTAAAGTTTGACAAAGTAAAGTTACGAAGGCAATTAACTTAATCATTAAAGCATTTCCAATAATCATAACAAACCTGGTCATCAGTATTATCCAAAGTCCATAAAAAATGGGGGTCTCACTACAACCACATAAATAGCTAAACAAAAGGTTTGGGTGGGTTCACAACTGAAGGCATATCCTTTATAGTGGAATAAAAGCAACATATCATTATACAAATTGAAATTCACATATATAACTTAGATCACTCCTTCAATTCGATCCCTTTCCTTTCCCATCACATTTGACAATTCTTTTTTCCTTGCTAAGAGTTATGTGCACTGATATGCCAACACCTTATTTCTCACTAATTCTTGCTAACTCGTCAAACAGTATTGGCAACTCTACGTCTTTCTCATTGGGTACATGATTCAATGTATGATTAACGGAATTCGATTCCTCGTCTAAAACTTCATTTTTCGCCCAATCGAAGTATCCACAATTATTAATACAGTGAAGAACAATTGCCTTTGTTATTGGATCCCGTTCAACCTCAAAATATTTTTGATATTTGCACTCACAACTAAGGCATCAGAGTTTTGATTGGCATTGTCCAAAGTAGTGCGTGTTGCTTTTGCAACCATGACAAACTCTCAAATTTCTTCATTTCATTCTAGTAGATGACTGCAATTGAGACAATGTGAATCGATCTTAAACGACAAACTCATAATTTTGAAACTCTAGACCAAAATCAGTTTCAGTATGCTATGCAGTAGGCCTTGTTTTTTCATTTGTCTGTATTGGAAACTTAATCACTCCCTGCAACAATAATTACATTGATTTGAGGATATTAAAACTACAAAAGTGCAAGCAACAATATACTATCCAAAATGTAGACAAATTTGAATGGGATTGTCTACAATATGCTATCCAAAAGATGCTAATGTTATGCCAATGTAGATAAAGCTGAATGGGTGGCAGATTTTTTTCTTCAATAGTGATGGCTATGCTTGCTTCAGGTTATTCACCTCTTGTACTACAATAAGACTCACAAATTATCACATCAAAGTTAGTTCGTTGAAGTGGAGGGGTGACTGTATAGTTAACTGAAGGGCACCTAATCTAACATGAGGACAACATAAATCTAACCTAACATAAGCATTTCCACTCAGAAAAATGAATGTAAGAAACAATGTGAGAGATCTACATATGTACAGCAGAGTGCAAAAGCTATCGCAGCAAAGGTGTTCAATGAGCATGCTCTAAAAGAACTCCTAAGAAGCATCAATCAGAATTATCATTTAAGCTACTCTCCAATCACGCCCTTAAGTATTTCAAGTACACTTACAACAAGAAGTCAAATTCTCACCAATGGCAAAAGCATAGTGACCATCTCTATCATTCACATATTTCTTCACAGCATCAACAGATACCAACATTCATGGTAACTGAAATTATGCAAATATAGGAAGATTGTGAGATTTGCAGGAAACAATTTTCAATATCTAAACTATAAGACATGGTAAACCCGTTTAACTAAGCAAAAACTCAATATCACTAAACGTATGTACACCTTTGTCGGTGTCGTTGGCGGTGACGATGAGTGCGTCGACCGATTTTGCTTCAGGTGGAAGCTTTTTCGTCGAGTGCTTAGGTCAAGATAAGGAAGAGGCTACCGGTTGAAATTTGCGGAAAATGGTTCATGTTATTTTATTTTATTTTCATTCTCCTCATTTTGCCTACCACGTATCATTTTAATTCCTTTAAATTTCAAAAGCAGGCCACGTATTTTAGAGATTATTTGAGAGTGATTTTGAGAATTGATTTTTTGACCGTTAGGAGAAAAGTGGGGTCCACCTGTGAGAGAAGAAGTCAAATATGACGGCTGAAATAGTAAAATAACGATCAAAAAATCAATTTTTTGGGTCAAAAAATCGGGTGCAAACAGCTCCTTATTTTTTTTTCAAATTCCCGTACGTTTTCTGTAAGAAGCTTCTTGTACCCATAGCCCAATTGTTAAAAATAAAAGTAATTTTATATTAAAACATGATTATAAGCTCATTTATTTTACAATAATTTGAGGTTAGTGGCAAAAAGGACATTGCAAGAGAATTTCTCTATTCACTAATCATTCATGGGGTTGTAAAAATTTTAAATGTACCTTATTTGATTTAACAAACATATTAAAAACAAGTTTCCCTAATTTTTTAGGCCCGATTTGACGCCCATTATTTAAAAAATTAAAGAGTTTTAAATAGTATTTTTGGATCATGTATTGTTAAAAAGTAATGAAACTTCATTGTTTTATGTGTAGAATATTTCATTGTGTGATTATATAGTGGGGAATGATAATATAGCAAATAATTTAAATTTTTAAAGGTTCAGGGGCTTAGTATTTCATAATAATTAATTTTTTTGATACGTTGAAATACGTTTTTTTACTACTTTTTAGTAAAAAAATTATTTTGTTTAAAATTTTTTTAAAAAATATTATAAAAATGAGCAATTAATTTCAAAATCTTGACAAAATTTAGTCTACCTTTTTTGAAAGGAATTTACTAGAAATAAACTTTATGCCCCTGTTTAAATTTGAAAATTCATATTTTAAATAAATTTTAGTAAAAGTTGATGGAATGTATGATTTGAAAGTTGTAAGTCCCATTAAATATTTATTTAAATTAATTATTAATTTTGACTTAAATGTTAATTTAACTTTTTAATTGAATCAAACGAGGACTATAACATTAGCCAAACATGTTTCATAAAATTTAAAAACAAAAAAGCAAAAATTATATGTCATCTAATCTTATTTTACTTTTTTTTATCAATAAAAGAAGTCAGAATTTATCCATTTCCCAAAAAAAAAAAAAAAAGCAAAAATTATATTTCAACTACTTTCATTTTATTTTTTTATCAATAAAAACATTTCAAAATTTATCTATTTCCATGTAGAATTATTCGACAGCCATTTGCCAAAACAATTCGCGACGGTCATTGGACGGGTTTCTCTCAGTGTCCATTCGCGGTTATCTTTTGCCCAATATTCCATTTCCAACAAAAATCTCACGACCTTTCCCCCACTCTCTCGAAAGTGCTCCCACCTTTTTTCTCCCTACATTCACACTCTCTCACGAAAAATTACAAATACAAGTTCTTTAGATCTGAATCAACAGCTCAGCTAGCCGGAGCCAGCAGAATTACTGATGGAGGCGGCACCATCACTACCGAAGGCTGACGACGTTGGTTCGTCCTCGAGTTCCAGTGAAGTTTCCGTGAAGTTCGACAAGGATGATCGTTCGGAAGTTTATTCTACTGCTGTTGATAGTGGCGGAAATGGTGCTGCTGCTCCTTCACTTTCCAATGGTGGCAGCGACTCTTCCGGTGAATTTCTACGAATTTTTTTAAAAGATAAATGAAATGAATAGTATCACTGGAAATGAATTGAAAGAAAACAAAACATCGTATGATGATATCTGTTTATTAGTTTTTGTGGTTAATTTGATGAACTTGCATAATTGCACGATTGTACAATTTGTGGTAGGGAGTGCCGAGGCGATTATTTCTAGAATAAACACAATGCTTCCAGAAATTTTGAACTCCGAAAAGTTAGAGCGGCCGTCAAGTGAAGTTAAGCTGGAAAGATTAAAGACTGAATGGCAAAGACATAATAATAATAATATACTTGCCGAAGAGGCAGCACAAATATTCGATGATAAAATCTCTGTCCAGCAGAAGGTAAATTCTTTTTGACTTTTTCTCTTCTTCCGCCCTTTCCCTATTGGCATTTCTGTTGTCATTGCTTATGATATTGCGGGACAATAAATTAAATTGCATATTTGGCTAATCTCAAAAAATTTACTACTAGTAATCGTTAAAATAAACAATCGTTCATGGTAGTCAAGCTTGGAAATAATGTCAAAATAGTACCTTTTCTTTTTCTTGTTTTATGTACGATTAAGAAAAATTAATCTATATAAACATGTTTGGAGAAAATAATTATTGAAGAGTATGATTGACTTGCATTTTAGCCAAACACGCTCTTTGTACCCTCAAAATGGTTATATCATTGCTGCGATTTGTTATGAAAAAATGTATTGCATAATACCGCCTGATTCTGAAATGCTTTAGTGGACTTGAAATAACAGAACGATTAAAGATGCAGCATTTAATTTGATTCTGGTTTTCATAATTAATTTTGTAATGGATATGGGGACAGATTGGTATAACTAGTTTCTCTATCGATCAATGGAATTGCGATGGGTGGCTATTGATTTCATTTCAATCTCTAGGAAAATATTTGAGTATAATTGAATTGGGGTTTTGTTAGGCCCTTTTTTATTCCTATTTTTATCAGAATGATTTTTCTCTTTCTTCTTTTTAACCACACAGTCTTTATTAAAATAATATTACACGTAAATAAAAAACTTTTATTTATTTTTCATCCACACATTCCCCATCAATCTACTATTCTAAAATTCATTTTTCGAACAAAATGGGTCTCAAACACCCTCTCAATATTAGGTCGGATGAACAATCTTAGATACTAGGGTAAAAGATTAAAAATAGGGAATTGGCAACCTGCTCCACAAAAGATTTTTGAAAATTTCATTTCTGTTGTATAAGTTTGAAACAATTATTGGGTTGATCCTCATCTCCTAAGATGGGGACTAGAATTTGTGGTTGTTTCCCCAAGAACTTTCTTGGGAATGAAATTGGGCTTCATTCCATAATCAAACACGTTATAAAATTTCTACTTGCTTCTGTTTAACTTCTTCCCCCCTCCTCCCCTCTCCCTCTTTAACTGGATGATTTCTCTAACTTATATTTTCTTTTTATATCTAAGTTTTAATTGGAAGAAGTTTCAAAATTGTAGTACTTTGAGGTTAAGTTTCATAACTAATGTAGTAATTTTTTGAGCCTCAATTTGCCTGCAAGTGGAGGTAGGCTTGACTCGCTTGAGTTTCAATAAGAAGGGGGCTAAGGAACCCACTGGCTGGGGGCTGCTTTTCTTAGCCCATTCTATTAGACACATTATATGAAGCGTTTCAAGAAGTACGGTTAACAAAGAAGGTTTATGGAATATATTTCGTAAAAAGGAGGATGATATGTTGGACTTTTTTTGCTTATCATCATGGATATGATCGAGGCAATTTTATCTTTATTCAATGTCTCTTTATCATTATAGATGTTGATTAGGTCTTCTTGATTACTAACACTGATACATTTCATCGTTTCATCATTAAAGTTGTGTCCTTATGAAAGCTGATATGAGAAAATCCTCAGTATGAAGAAGGAACTTTCTTCTTTGGTTTATTAGCTTAGGAACTTCTTAAGCAGTCTTATATGAAGTTCCCTGAACTTAGTACTAAGATGGCAAGGGCTCTCAGCCCACCGGAGATTTTCCTGTCCTGATCCCCGCTTAAGGCCGGTCACTGCCCTCTTTATATTTATTGTTATGTTTTCTGGGGTAATTTGGGAAATAGTCTAATGGACTTGGGTAATTGTTTCAGGTTGGGGCATAAAAATATTGGGCAAAGGCTTTTTTAAAAAAAATTTGTAATTTTTTTGAAAAAGCTATATAATCGGGGAGAGGCACCACAGGGCGCAAATTTTTGGGGTCAAATTGCATACCTACTTAGTTTGTTTTTAAGGTTCGCTAGTTTTATTATATAGCCTAGGGACAAATCGTTGCACTAGTGGAATTCCTTTCTAGTTGAATATGGTATTATCTAAGTAAACCTTTTCCTAGCATGACACTTTTTATGCATGACAAGTAATTTTGGTTGTTGACCTTTGCTCTTTATAAGACCATGAATATGGCCAAGGCGGACAAATAACATATGTTCAGCTTCTTTTTTATCATGACTTCATATTTATGTTAAAAACATAAATATCAGCTGATACCTTTCAATAACATGTTTAAACTTGTTCTTATACTCCATTTTAGTTGCATATATCTAATTGATTTCAGTGGATTATCTCCAAATATCTCATTGCATATTACTTCTTAGACAAGGTGGAATTGGATTTTCTTTTAAGTATTTAAATTGCTGCAGCTCAAATTGTTGAAAAGAATAGCCACTGTTAAAGATGATGGAACTGTAGAATTTGAAGTTCCGGGAGATGAAGAACCTCAAACTCTTGGAGTTGTTTCTGAAAATGTATGTAATGAAGTTGGTGAAGAACCTCTTGATGCAACGGAGCTTCAATACATCCCCCCATTGCAGATTGTAATGCTTATTGTTGGGACCCGTGGAGATGTACAACCATTTGTTGCAATCGGGAAAAAACTGCAGGTTGATTTCATTTCTACAAGCTTTTATCTAGTTATTGGAACCTGATCCTTTTATGCACATCTTCTTCTAGAAGAGAAATAGGTAGAAGGAAGCAAGGAATAACTAGGTATTATCATAATGAGTTTTGATGGTTGTACTTAACACCATTGCAATCAATTAGTGTTTTGATCTGGGCCACACAAAATTTCTAAGTGGTTAGGGTGATTGATTTAAATTTTAGATTCAGGTTCCGGAACTGTTCCTACACTTGTCTTTGGGCCTAAGTCTGTTGCTCGGTGGTTATGAAGATAACTTTCCTATATTGAGCAATTATGGAAGCTGAGGCCATAATCCTTGTTGTTTGCCCTCTGGAACTTAGTTATTTAACTACTTCATGGAATTTGGTTTTGCATTATTTGATGTGCACTAACTTTTATGATTTTGAATGACATTGACTGAAATGAGGGCAAATGAAACTGAGAGTTGTATTCTTTGCAGTTGGATGGATGTAGAATAAAGAAAGTGGATAGAAAATTTGCAGCTTTATAGTTTATTCATATTTGGTGTCTACGTTATGTTGTTGATAAGAATGCTTCGGTGCAGGATTACGGTCATCGTGTTAGATTGGCAACTCATTCAAATTTCAAAGAGTTTGTTTTGACTGCTGGGTTGGAATTTTATCCTCTTGGTGGTGATCCCAAAGTTCTTGCTGGATGTATGTTTCTGTTGCTCATATTTTTCTCGGAACCAACTTTGTGATCTCTTGTTTTGTTTTGTTTTAACTTATGAGTAATGATTGAATATGTTGTTCTTACAACTAAATGAACTTCGTTATATCGTTTAGCTGTCTTCAACTCAAATTGTGCTGCCCTCTGCTAAACTTTGGTATATCATGTTAGCTGTCTTCTACTAAAACTTTGCTGCCAGATGCTTCTCTTATATAATGGTGGAAAAGTTTTTGAATGTATTGCATGCTTGTCAACAAAATATAGCATTGAAGACAAGATAAGGGAAGGTAATTTTATATATGTCTTGCCATGGTTATCACTTTAGTATCAAGGCACTGAGGGCACTTTGGTTCTAAACATGAAGCTGCAAGCAAGGCGTACCATTGAAACAAAGCACATATTATGCTCTAAATGAAATTTTCTTTACATGCATAACATGTTCAGAAATATTAAAAAATTTGCAATACTTTTATTAATGTTGAATCAGTTAATTTCAACCCATTTGAGAAAATCAGCTTGAATTGAATTCATTTTAAGCCCTTAGATTTAATACAGTAACTAATTCAATTATAGCCAGTCAAATAATCAGCTAGACTTAACAAAATAAAACAAAACTAGTAGTTCAGATCGAAAAAATAAAAAAAGCCCCCAAAAATTCAAAAAATTGCATATTTGTCAAGTTTTTAATTTTCTGCATCTCACACTTTTCTGAAATTTTATATTTCCTGGGAGTGCTGTGTGTCAACATTTAAGGAATGCCTTGGGAATACACCTCTCTGCATTTTGTGCTTAGACTTGCTTTTAACAACTGTGTGAGGATGTACTTATTCAAATATATTAATTAGACTTGGTTTTGGATTACATCTGTTAATGAATTCTTCAATAGTTTTTCTGATTTATTGATTTTTTTGCCAAATCTTTTCAACTAGAAGTTCTTCTGAGTATCATACAACATGCATAACTGCAGAAGGCAGACAAAATGCTTAAAAACAGAATGATTATTATGATCTGGTATCATCTGCTGTTCTGTGATGGATTATTTTCTACAGTGAAATGCAATCTTTCCTTTTCTAGGCAAAATGTCGTCCATTCTCCTGTTCTGTGATTGGATTATTCTCAACAATGAAATGCAATCTTTCCTTTTCTAGGCAAAATGTTTTCCATTAAGATTAGCACTATCTTTATCTACATGAACTGAATTCCATAATTCAGATCGTCTACATGTGCAGTTTTGCAATATGACCATTTGTCTTACCTTCATAAAATATATCAGGAATTTTGAAGCAATTCAATATGCCAAGCAGTATCCGAAATTTTATTGACACTTCCTTTTACTGTCCTGTTGCTCCTAAATTATCTTGCATAGTGATGGAACAGCATCCATCTTTTCCTGTTTGAACATATTAAAGTCAGTTTCTATGTGCTTTGAAATGTTTCATTGTATTGTAACATTTCATTTGACATCTCTCTCTCTCTCTCTCTGTGATCCTAGACGCTGTCTATGTCTCTTCATTTGATCTTTTGTGTAGACAGTGGATTATTGTTCAAGAATATTAGCCGTTTAGGAAACGGGTTGATTCCAAATCTTATCTATTTATTTCATGTAATTATGTTTTAATCTAGGTGCCAATTCTGGACATTTATTTACTGGGCAATTACTGACACAAATGAATAATCATATCATTAACGACTTAATTTTTTTTTTCTTTTTTCTGCAGACATGGTTAAAAACAAAGGGTTTTTGCCATCTGGGCCATCAGAAATACCTATACAAAGAAATCAGATGAAGGAAATAATATATTCTCTACTTCCAGCGTGCAAGGAGCCTGATCTTGATTCTGGGATTCCTTTCAAAGCTGAAGCAATTATAGCCAATCCCCCAGCATATGGTTAGATTGTCTCTTATGGATACTTTCTTGCTTCTTTTCATACTTCTTTAGTTTAGTTGATTTCATAGTTGGTGTCTTGTAATATAGGTTGTCAGCACTTTGGATTCAAGGTCTCTAATTTTTCCATGTTAAAAATGTGAATTTCCTTTATCTCTTTGATAGAACTATAATTGACTGGCTGGCTTCCACAAGCCGTTGAATTTGGAATTTTGAAGAGATGTTTATTGGGATATATTTTCAACTATGGAGGACCACTTGGTAATCTAAGTGTTTAGGCATAGTAGAATTAGGATGGAACACATAAGAGTGTGTTTTTAGCTATGATAGCTATAAGGGTGATGGTGGAGCCAAAGTAGAGGATCATGATGTCCTAAAGAGCGACTGCTCTAGATACCTTTTTTTATCTATAAGGTATGACTTGAATTGGAGATGATGGATGCGATTATGACAGGTCGGATGAAAAAAAGAAAAGAGGGATCATATGCAACGTGGATATCTACGAAGATAAAATGGAAAGCTGTGTAATGGCTATTAGACAACAATGATTATGGTACTGACGAATGAGCATTGGATCATTAATAAACAAAATGTTACAAGATTGATTTAATAAATATGAGAATGTTAAGCATGCACACGCACTAAAATAGACAAATATGATATATGACCAGAATCAGAGGCAACAATTATGGATAAACTAGAAGTGAGGATTACTTAAAGATGGTTGAGGTTAGTCTTGTATGCAATCCAAATAGAACAAGTTAGCATAGAGAACTGTAAGGAAATCTACATGGGATGAGGTGGTTGCTAAATAATTGATTTCAAAAGACGAGTTAGAAGAGAGAGCTTTGGAAGTTGGAACTAGTGGAATGGTTAAAAAAATTCATGTAGCCAACTCCAAATTTATTGGAATACGGTTCAACTTCTTGTTATTGTTTTTCCTAGAATACATATTAAATACTACTACGAACTGTCTTTAAAAGTTGTGCTATCTAGCTATAATTGATTAAAGTTCACGTTAATGCTTGTTTTCTTTAATTTGCAGTTCATGTGGATGACATGTAATAACATATTTTTCCCTCGTGTGGTCTCAGAATATCAATAAAAAGTCTACTTCCGATATTAATAAAAAGTCTACTTCTGCTTTAAGCTTTTCATCTTCTCCTCCCCTGGATTTTCATTTTTTGTTTGTTTGTTTGTTCTCCCATAGAAGATCCTTGTTGGGCAGGATGCTTGAATTTGTTGAATTTTGATTTTGTAGAGAATGTATTCGAAAAATATATTAAACATCAATCACGATCTGTGTGCATTATCAACCTCTCTAGCTTTCATAGATTCAGAAGTAGACATTGGGTTGGACAAAGGGTCAACAGGAATCACATTCTTCACACTTTTTCTTAATTGACATTTCATGTGGATTGCTGTGTCACAACATGGTTTTGGTTCCTACTATACCACGACATATAAATTGAAGCCATAATGCTGCATTCTCCTATGGTTTTAGCAGCACTGAAGAGATTCTAATCATTAATAATTTCAGCTATTTGAGAAAAAAATCTTTCGATGGAATCGACACCCACTGAAAGTTTCCTCATTCTAACACGGCATGAGGAAAGTTATTCTTCTGTCCTCTGTTTGCTGCTTAGATCAAGTGCAGATGAGATATTCGTTGCTAGATTTTGCCAGTGAGAAATCATTTAAGCATAAACTCATGGCAAAACAGCAACTGGGTAAACATTGTTGCTTGTCTAAGGTTTCTGGTAGAGCCAACCACACTTGAAGCAGGATCCTACGATTGTGGTCTTGGGAATTAAGATGTGCATGTCTTGTAACCCCGAGTAATAAGCATTTATCCACAAATCCAGTTCTTAGCCACTTCAGATGTATGGTTTCACGCTAGTCGAATTTAATTCTTGAAATTGATTTGCATTTTAATTTTTTGGCTAAGTCAAGTAACGGTCTTTATTATTATTTTTATTTTATTTCCACTTGAATGTACAAGTATGCACAATTCTAAGAATTACGTACATAGTTGTAGAATTTTGAACCAAGCAATTTAGCATAAAGTTATTTTGGAACAGAACCTATGAGGAGCAATGGTCCTTTATCATTGTTGTGCATCGAAGTTATGATTGAAAGCTCAAATGTACTTGTCCTTTGAAATCAATCAGAGTGATGAAGCATCAATTGAAATCAGTTAGTGTTAAGGGTAGATTTTAAAAAATTATGGTTTTAGGGCCTCAGTGGTCTCTAAGCTTGTGTTACAAATTTGTAATTTAGAAAGAATGCTTGTCAAGTTGCTGAATTACCTATCTGCACTTATTTATAGTTAAAGACTAAGGTTGGTGTGGGGGAAGGTCATCCACTGATGTTTTGCTAATCTTCTTGTGCTAAGGTCCTTAATTGTACATACTTCCTGACAAAAGAATAGTTCTAGCTTCTCACCTGGAGTAGTACCGTTTCAGGGCATACACATGTTGCAGAGGCACTGAATATACCAATTCATGTGTTTTTCACAATGCCATGGACGTAAGTCTTGTCCATACCTTTTGATCCTCAGACATAGCCTCCATTTGGCAAACTTTATAAATAAATTTATAAATGGTCAAACTTTATTTTCAATCACAATGGACCCACGAGTACTATCCACTTAACCACTACTTATTTCTTATCCATATATAAATTAGACTATTTCTAAATTTTTTCCAAATGGAGGCATATATTTTTCTTTTGTAGTTACTTTAGCTAAGATACTAAATTTTTTTTTTTTTTTTTTTTATAATTCATGTTAACCAACTTTTTGTCTTAAATCTTTGACCAACTTGATTCCATGATTCTAGTTCTTTCTTCCAGGCCAACCAGTGAATTTCCTCATCCTTTGTCCCGTGTTAAGCAATCAGCTGGATATAGGGTGAGTTTGATTAAGCCTTGTACATTTTCTTGTAGTTATTATCTTGGGATTTTACATCGTTAGGACATCCCCTTTACCCCCTACCTGGAATAGATCACATACCTCTCTCTATGCGACTTTTTTCTTGCATGATTTTGCAGCTATCATATCAGATTGTCGACTCCTTGATTTGGCTAGGAATACGGGACATGATAAACGATGTTAGAAAAAAGAAGCTGAAGCTACGGCCAGTCACATATTTGAGTGGTTCACAGGGGTCTGAGACGGATATTCCACATGGATATATATGGAGTCCTCATCTCGTTCCTAAACCAAAAGGTGGCCCTGCTATGAATTACATTTATTTATCTTATTACGGTTATCTTCTTTCAGAAGAATTGCGTACTCCCGCCATGGTAAAGTTACCTTTTAGTTTTAAAGCTTCTGAGTTCTAATTTATTTGCCATGACTATAGTTAAGATTGAACGACTATGTTTACTGGGTTACCAGTTTGAGCTCTATAACAATATCTTGTTTTGCAGATTGGGGACCTAAGGTTGATGTGGTTGGATTCTGCTTCCTCGATCTTGCAACAAATTATGAACCGCCGGAGTCACTTGCAAACTGGCTTAAAGCGGGTCCAAAGCCTATCTATGTTGGGTTTGGTAGTCTCGTGAGTTTCCAGAACTCCCTAATATCATGCTCACCAATAATCCCCAAGCCCTAAATAAAGGAATATCCACTAAATATTCTGCTTCTGCTTTCTTAGTTAACTTTGTATGTTACTTTTCTTGTGCTGTTTATAAAAGAACTGATGGGAATAGAAAATTCATCTCCTCGTGGATGTTTGAGTGCACTTGGAGATTCAGTTTGAGAACTGACTTATTGTTTGTCTTATGTTCTGGAAGCTTGACCTCTGATTAAATGTTGTTTAATGTATATTGACAATGTATTCATATGTGATCTTTACGTGGAGAATCTAATTCACTGTTGCAAAATTAGACACAAATATTAATTGCAATGCTGGTTGTCATTGTTTTGCATATGTACGCACAATTTCATGATGTTGCAATCTAATCAATGTGGTATATTTTTATCAAAATCTTTGTTTTTATTCTCTCCTTTATATTTTTGGAAATTTATGCAGTCTTTACCATAATCTTGTTTAGTTAATTTTACAGATTGACTAACAAGTATGTCCATGAAGTAGAAATCTTTTGTTGGTTTGTCCTGATACATGCTTCTTTTGTGTGTACATTCATCTTCTGTAACGTGTGTGCTTTTAACATTGTAATGATCTTCATCCTTTTTTGGCCTTTTTTAACTTGATCTTTCTTGGTACATAGTTATCATCTTCAACTCATTTCTTCCATCTCAGCCTGTTCAAGAGCCGGAGAAAATGACACAAATAATTGTTGAAGCTTTAGAAATAACGGAACAAAGGGGAATCATTAACAAAGGCTGGGGTGGCCTTGGTAACTGTAAGTTATTTTTCCTTGACTTATTCTATTTACTATCTGTGTTACAACATGTCCTTTTTTGTAGGTAAGCTCATACCAAAGGATATTGTATTTATTAAATTAATGCTTCTTTCCAGTGGCAGAACCAAATGACAATATATATCTGTTGGATAACTGCCCTCATGACTGGCTTTTTTTACAATGCGCTGCTGTGGTGAGTCTTTTTATTTTTATGGTTGCTTCTGTACATTTATAAATAGAAACACAATTTGATTGTCAGTTTTATAATTGGACATGTTCACATGAAAAATTTAGGTCTTGGTGTTCCACAGAATTTGCCTCGCTACATTTTTTGTCATCTCATTCAAATGGTAGCTAAAGTCTATTTTTAGGTATTAGGTTTGCTTGCCCCCAACATTATGCAATAGGAGAGTGCATAAGCCTTTTGCAATGCGCATATGCTATGTGTTCATGCTGCTGAATTAGGCCAATGATACTTATGGTGTTGATATGATACCCATCTATTGGTGATGTGCCTAATGACACAGTTACTTTCACTGCATGTGAGCAGTCTTCTACTTGGTAGTCTATTAACAGCTGTGTGGCAAGTAGCACCCAGCCACCTCAGATACCTTTTGGATGTTAGATCAGTGGCCTGTGTACTCACTGTCCAATTTTGATTACTGACAATTGCTGCATTTACTTTCTTTGGAACAGTTTCTGTCGTCACCTGGATACTTTTCTAATTGAGTTATTTTCATTGACACACTCTTAACTTTCATTTCTATTCAGTTCATGCTTTTTGGATTTTTGCACTTGGACCCCTCTATTAGGGATATGGGTGTCAATTGGGCCGAGTTGCTCGTTAGCTTGCCCGCTCAACTCGTCTGGGCTTGGCACATCAGCCCTTGCCCAAAAAAATTGGAGCTTGGCTCGTAGCACAGATGAGTGGCTCGTGGACCGTTGATCTAGCTTGTGGGCTTTCCAAAAAAATGTGACCATTTGGTCACATTTAAAAAAATATAAAAAAATTAATATAAATATGAACTCATGGGTGAGCTAGGCTCAGCCTATATTTTGACGTGCTTATGGGCCGAGCCGAGCTCGCCTCACAAGCACGAGTCCGGCTCTTGCTTGGATGAGGGATGATATGAGCTTGTGAGCCGGATTGCCCCATTGACACTCCTAACTAGAGATTATTTTGTCGAAGAATAAAAATGTCCATTAGTGCATATCTATTAAATTTATCTCCTACAAGTAAATTTCAATAATTTCTTTTAGCATGTGAAATTTTATAGGGGGAATAAACCAATAAAGGGAAAAAGATGAATTATTTTGTGAAATAATTTTTGGGCTTATATGTTGTGTGCCTACTTTTCTGAGACATTTCCATTCATTTCGTTAGACTGCAACGGAATTGTTAGAGTTGATAAGAAATGTAGAACTGAATTATAGTTAGGTGTAATTGTTGAGTTCTAGGGCTAGGCATAAGGCTTGAAGTTGTATAATAATGCAATTTACAGATGAGATTGAGTAATTTATATGTTCGTATTTTTCAGTGTTATTATGGATAGAAGGTATTCTTAAACGAGTCTTTCTCTTTGTTAATTTCTAAGCTAACCATATTCATTTTTTTAATTAATTGGAAAATAGCTTCTTGGTTTGGCCAATCAGACATAATTAAGGAAAAAACAACGTGAAGAATTGATCTGTCAGGAAAGCATCACACTAAAAAAAAATTTATCCATGTCATTCGGCACAGACTTGATGAAGAACATGCATCATATTGTTTGTTTGTCTGAAAGTATTGATAATTTTACTTACATTCTTTTTCTGTATACTTGAGTTTGAACTTGCTAATGCCGATTATGTACTGTAATTTGATTTGTTCCTTCATTTTCTTTGAAGGAGTTTCGGTAATTATTGTGTAAGCCATTATATTATCTTTCGTCACGTACACATTGGCAATGTTCTAAATAGCACAAACATGGTTAGGTTTGGAGGCCAAACTTCAAGCTTTACGAGATCAGATGCAAAAAAATATTTTCTTATTTTTAATACTATTTTAAGTTTTTAATCATTCTAACATCATTTAATAATTAAAATAATATGTGCCAAACATCTAAAATTATAAAATACTATATTTACATAATAATTCCTACAATTAGTCAATTGTACAACTTTTAAGTTTTTGAAATGTAAAAGCTAGACATTTATCATAGTTTCAATTTTCAACTAAATAAATTTTACTTAGGGTGTGTTTGATTACATTTATTTCCATGGAAAATATCAAATTTCCACCCAAATTCTTACTTGGAGTGTTTGATTGCTATTTTTTTTCATGAAAAACATTTTCCAACTTTTGAAAATATGCCTAATTTTCCTTGTTTTTAAGGAAAATATTTTCCTTGGGTAGAGGTCGTTTTTATTTTCCACAAAAGATGGAAAATATTTTCTTTTCTAGATAATATTTTCCATGCCAATCAAACACACTATTAATAGATTTATAGGAACTTCATACATACTTTCGGCATATCCAACAAAACGATAAATCTCAAAATTATAATTACATTACGTCCAAGAATATTTATTTTGAAATCAAATGAACTAGTTAATGTCTTGTCTTCAATCTTCACTAAATTTGAATTTCTTGAACCCGGTGAGAAAGACAATGGATTTTGAGTAGTTGAGCTTTACTGTTTTCCAATTTCGTTGAGCAACTATTTTGTTTGAAATGTTCTAGTGTGTTTTCGTTTTTGATTTTTGTACAAATAAAGTTATTTAAAAACTTGAAACTGACCTAAAATAAAAGGCTTTTAAATAATAGAAAAAAATAAATAATAAAGTTTCACTAGGCAAGCCATAGTCGCGCATTATTATATACAAAATGCTCAACTTTATTCACTGATCATATACAAAATGTTGATTTTATGTATTTCGAATTATATCTGCTGTATATAAGTCATTTATTTACCATGCCCTTGTTTGGTGGGGGATTAAAATTAGATTTTTAGCATATTTTGATAAAAGTTTATGAAATGTATGGTTGAAAAGTTGTGGGTCTTATGAAATATGTGGTTAAAATTAGTTATTGACTTTGACTTTGATAAAAATCTAGATTTTAAATTCATATAATCTTGGATCCATAAATTCTCTCAATGAATCATACTCCATTGAACACGAGAAATGCATACAGATTTCACATTCATTAATAATATCAGAAAACATTGCCAAGGAATATATGCTTGTACCACTTCGTTATGTGGTTTGCTGAAGGATAGTATGAATTCTTCTTGAGTGAAATCATGTTGGAAGAATTTAACAAATTGGTACAACTATCCTGTTCTATGCACGTTTAGATATTCACTGGTTAAATCCAATGTGTTTATATTAAGCTATATAAGATTTCCATCTCTTCCAACTTTTTTCAGGTACACCATGGGGGTGCTGGAACGACGGCTGCTGGTCTCAAAGCTGCGGTAATGATTAACACAATCGGTTTATCTCCACTCTTCCATCTACTGTGATTTCATTCTTGAATACTACTTGATTTTCATCACTATTCTGATATAGTGTCCAACAACTATTGTCCCTTTCTTCGGTGACCAACCTTTTTGGGGAGATAGAGTACATGCTAGAGGTGTTGGTCCTCCACCCATACCAGTTGATGAATTTTCACTTCTGAAGTTGATAGATGCAATTAAATTTATGCTAGATCCCAAGGTACTTCTCTAAATTTTTTTTTTTTCCGCTTTTGCCATCTTATGGTATAGTTGCTAAAGCACAGAAGACATGCTTGCGTACAAATATTCCCTACGTGAAGAAAAAGTGAAAGTCAAGCTAGAATTTATGAAACCCCCTTTTTTGCTTGACTCAACTATTTTTCTAGATCTTGGGATGTTTGTCATAAATGGGAAATAATAAGAATAAATTTTTGTTTGAAAATGAGAGTCAGTGTAAGACATGAGTGATGTTAAGTGCGTTTGAGAGAATGTGTGAGAATACTTTCCTACTTTTGAATAACAAAGGAGAGAGAATATGCAGGTGAAGGAGCGTGCATTTGAACTTGCAAAGGCCATGGAGAATGAAGATGGGGTAGCAGGAGCAGTGAAAGCATTCTTTAAGCACCTTCCTTGCAAAAAACTTGACCCTGAGCTGGAACCTGCGTCATCGAGTCTATTTTCTGTGAGAAGATGCTTTGGTTGTTCCTAGGTTTTGAGTGGATGGTATTGTGATAAAATCACTTTCGTTTATTCTTTATTAACGATTGAAGTATGATAATGTCATCATATGAGCAATAATTTCTTGATTTAGTACTTTTCTCCCAATCTTTGTTTTTCTGCCCTCGCCCTTTGCCTCCTAGTGCTCAGCCCACCATTGCTTCTTTTGAAGTCATACCGATCTATGGTGGTCGTCTTTATAGATAACTTAGAACACGTTAGTTGAGATTGCACTATTTTGTTCTGCAATCTTTATTTTTTAGTTCATGGTGCTTAGCCGTGTGCTCTGTAAATTTTGGTTTTAATCTCTCCCATCAAAGGAATCATTGAGAGAATTGCTTCAGGAATTCATTTGTAACACATTTCTAGTCAAGTGTGGTATCAAAAATTTATTTAGCTCCGGCCTTTGCACATTGTGGCTTATGTCCTTTTCTCGATTTGCCGTAGATCATAAAATGTTTTTTATAGTTGAGCTTGAGCATCTTGAATTCTTTCGCTAATGATTTATGTAGTCGAGATTTTGGTCTTAAATTATCATCAAATTTAAAGTTTTTTAATTTATCATTTCAAAAATTAGATTTGAAAGTTTTTTGTTCAAATAATAATAATAATAATGATGATGATAATGATAATGATAAATTAAATTAATTTATCACCTTCTCTTTATCGACCCGACAAATCCTAATTCATTTTGAAAAATGTGCATCTCTTGGCCGCTTCATTTCACGTGGTGAATCTACTTCGATGAGACATGGCACTCACTCCGACGACTCATCACTACATAGCAGAGGTGGCTTTCCTTTGTGTGAGGCAGGTTATTGCCGTTGTTGCCATGCGCGGCTCGGACCCGTTCCCCTTTTTTTTTTTTGGGAGTGGTGCAGTGATAAACGGTTCGGTTGTGGTTCTATGGTGCGGAAGTAGTGATGGTGTGTTGCTTTTGCAGTTGGGGTGGTTGTGGAGGTGTGTGGTGATGCTATGGTGGGAATGGAGAGTTATGTGTGCTGGTTGGGTACGATGATGCTATGTGGTGGTTGGTGCGATGATGCTGTGTAGTGGTAGTTGGGTTTGATGGTGCTATGCGTGGTGGTTGGGTTGGGCGTGGTGCTGTTTGTGGTGGTTGGGTTGGGTGCAATGGTGATGTGCAGTGATTGGACGCGATGTTGTGTGCGGTGGTTGGGTTGGGTGAGGTGGTGTGCAGTGGTTAGGTGCATTGGTAGTGTGCAATTGTGTGTGCCGTGATCTGTGGTGCGTGATCTGTGACGGTGGTGCCGTGGTGGTGGTTTTTGTTAGATTTATTGGTTTTTGGAGTAGTTTTGATTATTTATGTTTTAGTGTTGGGGGCAGTTATTGTTGGCATTGTAAGTCTTGTTATTGTTAGTGTTGGTGGTGGTGGTGGTGGTGGTGGTGGTCCACGATGGTGGTGGCAGTCGCCGTTGCACCCACCAATTATTTAGGCATTTGTGATAAACTATTTGAGTGTTTGTGATCAAGTATTGGTGGTGGAATTGGATCGGAAGTGGGATTGGGGTGTTTGGTGTATGTGACCAACTATTTGGTTAATTTGTGATAAACTATTTGATTATTTGTGACTTAACCATTTAATTGTGACCTAATAATTATATAATTTGTGACTGAAAAATAATTTGACCAACTAATTTGAAAATATGAGATTGTGGGATAAATTGTGACTTATAAATTTTTTTATTTGTAACCGTGAAACAATCTGTGACCAATTAGATTGATAATATGTAATCAATAAATAAGTTGTGACTTATAAATATGTACTAGGGAAGGCAAAATTTTTTTTTCGTTAAAACGATTTTTATAAGAGTGGGAATTACTTGCTTAATCAAATAATCGGGTCGTCCCGATGACCCGGGGATGGTGTAGGTAACAAAAGCCTCGCCTTGCCTCGTTTAACTTTTTTTTAATAAAATAATTTAATATTTTAAAAAGAAAACTCCACAAAATTTCATTAGGTTTTTAATAGAATATGGAACCTAAGATTATTTAAGAAATATACGAACAATAAAAGTCTTATTTTATCAAATATATTATGATAGCAATAAAATGAATTATGAAAAACTAAAACAATTAAATGGGTAGTAGACGGGGCAAGCTCCATGCCATGTCCTCATCCTCCTTAAACGGGTAATAGGGCAAGCATGGGATGAGAAATTACTTGGCGCGAGGCCCCCCCTCTCTGTTGTCATTCCTAGTACGTAGCTGTGATCATTAATTATATAATTGTGATCTTGATATATTTAATTAATAATTTATTTTTAATTATTTATTTATTACCAAAGTTTTGAATTTTGAAACTTTAAAGTTTAAACTTGAAAATTGAATTGGCTCACAGTTAATACCCGAGTTGCAAATTTTTCCCTAAAATCTTTGCCATTTGAACTCAGAAATTGCATTATGAGGCCTATACTTCCGGACAAAAATAAATCTGGCCTCTTGAAAACCCAAATTAATGGGTCTGCCGTCCATAACTTAAGGCCCAAATTTTTGTTTGCACGACCCATGATGCAAAATCCATCTCCCTCAAAGTAACTGAAAATTGTCTTGCGTCTTTGAACTCGAAGCAAAAAAGAAAATAAATAAATAAATAAATTCATTTCTCCAAATTTTTATCGATTATCATGTGACATTATGTCAAATATTCTGGCATTGTAGCATGATTGTTGTTTCAATATTGAATCATGCTTAAGTAAAATGGTGCTAACTTTTATGGGCTCAAGTCGAATCGAGCTTTTACTCGGCCAAAATATTTAGGCTCGATCCGAACTTTTGACTTGAGCCTCATTGAGCTAAGCTGTGCCGGCTCACCTTTTTTTATTAACAAAATGCAGGCAGCGTGTTAGCGGTAGCTACCTGCCTTTTGCTGGTAGCTATGTAGCAGCCCGTAGCATCATTTTTCTGGTTTTTTTTTATTATTATATGAGCATGCCCTGGCTGGCTCAAGCTTAGGCCGACGCTCCAAAATGGGGTTTGGCCCGAGCCGAGCCTAGAGCTACTTGAGCTAAATTGACATTTTCAACACTCACAATAGGGGGTGAGAGAGCTTTTTTTATTCACACGAGTCCTATGTGCATACGTGTGTAGGTCAATCCAATTGGACAAGCATTTTCTGGCAAAAGAGTTTAATCCTTCAATATTCTTCAGGCCAAGTTACTGTTGAGGTTGTCGCACATCTGTTGTGAATGGAGTTGGTATTCAATTTATAGTATGAGAGAAGGCCTTACATCTTGAACTAGATTTTGGGATGAGAGAGGTTCAAACTGGTATCAGAGCCCGGTTTATCAACAAGTTTCCAGCTCAACAGTCACAAAGATACGAATTTGTGTGAGAGGGAGACAGGTTTGGTCTCCCGCAGGCCTTGTTGGGAAGACAGGTTTGGTCTCTCGTAAGGTCCGATGTGTAGGGGGAGATGTGTTTGGTCTCCCACAAAACCCAATGTGTGAGGAGGAGATTATTAAAATTGTCCCACATCGTTGTGGATATGATTGGTATTCAGTTTATAAATATGAGGGAAAGCTCCATCTCTTGAACTATTTTTTGGGGTGAGAGAGGCTCAATATCACTCAACAGTTACCATTTTATATGGAGAAAATTATGACTATTGGAGCAGTCAAATGCGTTTTAAATCTCACAAGACCTATGAGAAATAGTTGATGACGGATATGAGGAGCAACAAATAGCATATCCATGCTGATAAGCCGTGAAAGCAATAAAAATAACTTACAGATTAAGAAAGATGCAAAGGGTTCTTCACTATAAGAAAAGGGTTCTTCACTATATACAGCAAGGTGTGAACAAGGTAAATTTCCAATAATATATGACATGAAGAAGGCAAAGGCTGCATGGGAAATCCTGCAGGAGGAGTTTGGAGGTTTGCAAAAGGTTTTATCCTATCAAACACCAGAACTCACAGAGAGTTTTCGATAACCTATTGATGACAGAAACCGAGAAGTTACAAGATCTTTTCGACCCAGTAGCTGAAATTGTATATCAAATTTAGAGCAGCTGTGATCCAATTGAATAAGCAATAAAACTAAACAAGCAAATAAAACTGAGTAAAAAGTTCTTAATTCTTCATTTTTTAGTAACTAATGCTACAAAATATCTTTCATACACACCAAAAAAATTAATAAACGAAAGTATATGAGCAGTACAAGATGGATCGCTCAATAACACATAAAAATGGGCGAAACAATCTATTAACTTGATTCTTGTGTATTCTCTCACCAAAGAATCAAGTGGAAAATTATTCCTAAATTCAAATGAAGACTGGTATGCAAAAAAAGAGTGGAAAAGTGCTTAATTCTTCATGTTGTCCTTGAGTTTTGCTGCTCCTTCCCTCATAGGCTCCTTCATGCTTTCTGTGGACTCCTCCGCCTTGCCCACCACGGTGTCTTTGATTTTCTGGGTGGTGTCCTTAACCGAACTCCATGCATCTTCCGCAGTTTGCTTCACTTTCCCGGCAGCATCTTGTGCAGTGTCTGACACCTTCCCTGCCAAGTCCTTTGTCTTTTGAGCCGCCTGATTTAAGTAATTTCAATCTGTTAACTCGTATATAAGGAAGGATTTATATGAAAAAATAATGGAAAATGATGCTATATATACATTCTCAGCGACATTAGCAGCCTCGGATTTGGCTTCCTGGCTTCCCGTCTTTGCTGCATCAATACCCTTATTAAGGGCATTGCGGCCTTGTTTTGCTGCATCGGTAGCCTCAGAGGTAGCCATGGCCCCAAAACGTCTACTTGCCTGTTAATGTTTCTTAGAATTAAAAAGATCAGAAAATTCATTAACATACAAATAAATCTTGAGCTCGATGGTCTGTGATATAAAATGATAAAGATGCCACCATCTGGGAAGCATGTCTATAGATTTCAACATAAATTATTCATAATCTCTTTTTAAGATCGAGGAAATATGCGTACAGTACAATTAGACTCGAGACGTATTATACCGGGAAAGGTCTTGGTGATGCACCGGCAAAAACCCTAGAGCTCCATGGGCTGCGTTTGATGACTGCTCTGGTTGATTGGAGCTTAGAAAGAGAGGTGGTTAGAGCCATGCTTGCCATTTCTCTTACTTTAACTAATTGATTTTCTTGAAGAGTTTGTTGTGATGACTTCTGTGATTGCACTTTCTATCATCCCACTACGGCCATCTATATATAACATAACAAGATCCTATATAGAAGGTATTTTAATTAGAATCATGGTGGATGGAGTGGCAAAACATTGCGATTTCTTCTCCTATGAATGGTTAACAAACTAATTTCTCTAATGAAGGATGACCTAGTATTTCATTTGTTGTACTGCAGTTGTCTATTCTCCGGGTTTTAAGTTGAATACTGAATATTATTATTATTATTATTATTATTATTATTATTATTATTATTATTATTATTATTATTATTATTATTATTATATATATATTTTTTGTGATAATTTTGCAACAAGAGAGCTGAAGAAGACAGTGTAAAAGGCGGGAAAAATTCTGTATTCCAAGTCAATGAAAATGGCGTGATACATTGGGTATTTATAGACAGTGCAGTAACTAGAGTGTACAAAAAGACTAAAATAACCCCGTACAAATTACAAATTTATCTCAATACACCCCCTCAAGATGGAGTATGAATATTCAATACTCCCATCTTATTTAGCAGCAGCTGGAGTCGTGTTCCACTTAATGATTTGGTTAGCAAGTTAGCCAATTGATCATGTGATGCTGTATAGATCATTTTTACTTCTCCCGCTTGAACTTTATCCCTTACCAAATGACAATCAATCTCTATGTGTTTCGTGCGCTCATGAAACACAGGATTATTAGCAATGTGTATGGCGGATTGATTATCACCAAACAATAGTGTTGCCTGATTATGTCCAACACCCAAATCACAAAGAATGTTCTTCAACCAACTTAATTCACAAACTACAGCTGCCATTGATTGATATTCTGCTTCAATTGAGGACCTCGAGACCATGTGTTGCTTTTTGGATTTCCAAGATACAAGTGAGTTCCCCAAAAAAATGCAATAACCGGTTATGGATCTTCTAGTGTCTGAGCAAGCTGCCCAATCAGCATTGCAAAAGCCTTTAAGATGCAAATCAAGGTTTGCTTCAAAGAATAGGCCTTGACCTGGTGTGCCCTTTATGTACCTCAACACATGGTGAGCTGTTACCAAATGTGGCTGCTTTGGAGATTGGAGGAACTGACTAAGCAATTGCACCGCATACAATAAGTCAAGTCTTGTAATTGTTAAGTATAGAAGTCTACCTACGAGTCTTCTATATACACTGGCATCTGTGAGTACTTCTCCTTCATTCATACTTAGCTTCAAATTGTGTGGTAAAGGGCTGTTTGCTGGTTTGGCCCCAATATATCCAGCATCTGTTAAAATTTCCAATGCATATTTACGTGGCAGACTAATATCCCCTTCGAAGATCGGCAATTTCAAGTTCTAGAAAATATTTTAGAATTCCTAGGTCTTTTAGCCTGAACCGATCATTTAACTCCTTTTTGAATTGTTCTATATGGTCCAGATCATTGCCTCCTATAATTATGTCATCTACATAGATGAGGAGAACTGTAAATGAGCTGCCTTCCTCCTTACAAAACAATGAATAATCTGATTTTGATTGCCTAAATCCCTTTGATAAGATGTATGCAGTCAACTTTGCATTCCACTGCCTCGACGCTTGCTTAAGTCCATAAATGGACTTGTTTAGTTTGCAAACCAGCTGCTCTCCATCCACCCCCTGCTCCTCATATCCCGGAGGCATAAGCATATATACCTCCTCATCGAGGTCACCATGCAAAAAAGCATTATTAATATCCAGCTGATGAAGGTGCCAACATTTCTATGCCGCAATAGCCAACAAGGTTTTCACTGTGACCAGTTTTGCAACAGGTGAAAAGGTTTCCTCATAGTCTAACCTAGCCTGCTGTGTGAACCCTTTCGCTACAAGGCGAGCCTTCTTTCTTTCCTCCGAAGCATCTGCATGAATCTTGACCTTAAACACCCATTTACAAGCTATTGGTGTCTCGTGAGAAGGCATCTTAGCGACAGTCCAAGTATTATTAGAGACAAGTGCTTGATATTTAGTATCCATAGCCCTACACCAGTCTTGATGTTGTGATGCTTCAGCATAGGATTGAGGCTCATAGACAGTAGAGAGAGCCAATGCATATTTTCTATGAGGAGCAGATAGCATATTGTAGCCCAGATAATCTGAAATGGGGTACTGTTTACTAGATGCAAAACCTTTTACCAAGGAATCAGATTGGGGATAAGGCTTCTGAGATACCAAACTAAAATGGTAATCACGAAGGTATGAAGGAGGGTGTTTGGTTCTGTTAGATTTTCGAATGACAAGAACATGTGAATCAGAATTCATCATAGGAGAATGATGATCAAAACTGAATTCTGGAGTACTAGAAGAAAAACTAGGAGGAAAAGTAGCTGATGTTGTTGGGGAGTGATGATTAGAATGAGTTACTAGGGTATGTGCAGATGGGAAAGATGGAATATTATTAGAAGGATAAAAATGTGGATGGAATAGAGGCTGATCAACTTCAAGGGAAAGACTGAAATTTGATAAAGACTTTAGGAGATCTGAGTTACGAAATGGAAATATGTTCTCATGAAATATGACGTCTCTTGAAGCAAGGATGGAATGGGATTGAAGATCATACAATTTATAGGCCTTCATGCCATGGGGGTATCCAAGAAATATACAAGGCTTGGCTTGTGGATCAAATTTTATTCTATTCCTTTTTAGGGTGGATGTATAGCAAAGGCATCCAAAGACTCTTAGATGACTGTAAGATGGTTTTTCTTGGTATAACATTTCAAAGGGAGATTTGTTTCCAAGAATAGTAGTGGGAGTTCGATTGATAAGGTGTGTGGCAGTTAATATGCAATCTCCCCAGAACTGGTTAGGTAAATCAGCTTGGAATTTTATGGCACGAGCTACATTAAGTAAATGTTGGTGTTTGCGTTCAACAACCCCATTTTGTTGGGGTGTTTCAACACAGCTTAATTGATGCAACATTCCCTTGGAAAGGTAGAAATTATGCATGTGAAACTCAGATCCATTGTCTGACCTTAAGACTTTTAGGTTGCAGTGGAAATGTGTTTGGATCAAATTGTAAAATGATTGGATGATGGACCTAGTTTGAGATTTTTCTTTCGTAAGATATGTCCATGTCATGCGGCTATAATCATCAACAATGGTCAAAAAATATTTCGAACCATCTAAGGCAAGAATAGAATGTGGTCCCCAGATGTTACAATGTATGAGATAAAATATGTTTGAACTTCTGGTGTCACTTTTAGGAAAAGGTAGCCTATGTTATTTTGCTATAGGACAAATGGTGCAATGTAAATGTTGATCAAAGGTAATTGTAGGTACAATTTTATACAACAATGATAGTTTGGAAGTAGGAATATGTCCCATTTGACAATGTCATATATCAATATCAATATGAATATCCTTCTTACATGTAAGATTACATACCGCAGGATCAAAATTATTACAATCAAGATGTAGAGTAGGAACTTGTACATCACTGAAGGAAGCTACATTGTTGAGAACAGGAAAGATAGACTTTGTTGGAATACTTTGAGAAGTGGAAGAAAATTGCCCATTGAGTTGATTATCAGAACATTGGAAATGATACAAACCATTTTCAAGTTTCCCTACCCCAATCGTCTTCCAGGTGAAAAGATCTTGAATAAAGCAAAAGTGATGTAAGAATAACAATAAACATTTATGCTTGATAACAAGATTGCTGGCAGAAATCAGATTGAAGTTGAAGCTTGGCACAACTAATACATCAGTCAAGGTTAATGTATCAGATAGCTTCATAATACCAATGTGTGTAGCTTGTACAATATCCCCATTTGGTAATCTTACTGAACCTTTAGTTTTACTAGTCACAACAGTCAATTGATTAATGGAACACACCATATGTTTTGAAGCCCCAGTATCAATGATCCATTTACCTGGATTTAGATAGCATGCACGATTAACAGAAAATGCAAAGGCATCAGGTACATGGGTAGAAGAAGACATAACCTCCTGAGGTTGTTGACCTTGCAGCTGTGGAGCAAGCATGGCCATAATCAGCTGGTGCTGACTTGGTGTAATAGTGAGGTTGGACAAAGAATTAATCAGCTCTGAATTATTTGCCTGGGAAGCTTGACCTACAGCATTAGCAACTGAAGATTTCCCTTTGGCAAGCCTATCCCCAGGGGGGTATCCAATCAATTTGTAACATTTCCCTCTGAGATGACCTAACATTCCACAATAAGTACATATAGGCATTCCTTTCCTTTGAGTTTGATTGGATACATTGTGTCTCTGATTTCCATATGAACTAGACACAGCCTTGTTGGCAAAAGCTGCTACATCAAAACTCTGTTGTTTCTTAGCAACAATTCCTTTTTGCCTTTCATCTTGTAAGACCAAGGCAAACACCTTGTTCAGTGAAGGTAGTGGCTCCATTAATAAAATTTGGCTTCTCACACTGGAAAATTGATCATCTAGACCCATTAGGAATTGCATAACTTGATCTTCAGCTTTGTAGTCTGCACTACTTACTTCTGGCCTATAATTGTCTAATTCCCGATTTAAGTAAGAATTGACGGAGTTATTGTCTTGAGAAATTGAAGCAATTTGCTTCTTTATCTCATAATTTCGAGTTCCATTTCCTTGGCTGTAGTGATCCCTTACTTCGATCCAAATCTGCCGAGCTGAATCTTTATGCATCACACTTGGATAAAGTTCTTTTGGAATGGAATTTATGATCCAGGAAGAAACTACATGATTAAATCGCCTCCAAGCACCATAAAGCAGGTCATTCACAGCAGGTTTAAAAATGGATCCATCAATAAAACCTTCCTTATTTTTGACACTGCGAGCTATGATAATTGCACGACTCCATGTGGTGTAATTATCCTCAGACAACATGATAGATATGAGTTGCAAACCTGTATTATCGCCATAGAGAAGATAACAAGGACTGTTAGGATCATTTATTGATCGATTAACAGTAGTATTTGTGTCTCCAACACTCACACCTGCAACAGAAGGATCGACTGTCGAATCAGCATGAGCTGGCTGATGTTGAACCTCTACTTGTTGATTAAACTCTCTTG